GGTCTAACTTAGTAAAAGTATGTTTGATTCAAATTCCAATGAGAGTAATAGTAAAATCATAACCAAGTTAACTTCTTCTGGATACATATGATAAAGAATATGATTATTTTTTAAAAATATATTTTGTTGATTTTTTTACAGAGAGGGAGAGAGAGGGATAGAGAGTTAGAAACATCGATGAGAGAGAATCATCGATTAGCTGCCTCTTGCATACCCCCTACTGGGGATGTGCCCACAACCAAGGTACATGCCCTTGACCAGAATCGAACCCAGGACCCTTCAGTCCGCAGCCGATGCTCTATCCATTGAGCCAACCCGGTTTCGGCAAGAATATAATTATTTTTAAAACCTAAAACTTGCAAAGTAATATTTGCCTAAAATATTATCTAGAAAGAAAGTGAGTCAAGTAGGCATATAAAGATCAGAGATGAAAATCCCATATTGGAAAAAGGAATAATAAAAGCTTCGCAACTATGCCATCTAATATGAAAACTCACTGTCATAGTTTTTAAGTTTTTTGGTCATAAACTCCTTTCAGTGTTTGATGAGAGGTACATTCTGCTCCCAAGAAAAATGTGCATGCACTTAGAATTGTGTATGTGATTTAACTGGGTCTCGGGAGGCCACCCAGATGCACAGACCTCTAAATCAACAATCTCTTTTTTAGATATTGACGCTGTGTTATCCATCTGCTTTCAGAACAAGTATCCAAGCCCCTCTGATATCTCCAGAATGAGAACAAGGAGATTTAATGTGGGAAAAAAGTCTTTTTTTATTGAAATGTTCATAACATGAAGTAAGATCATGTCAGGGATATTATGTTTTCTTCCCTTAGTGAAATTCCTCTACATTCATCACTTTTGTTGTAAAGTATCCCATTTGTGAGATTTGGCCAAAAGTTAGGTCATATGACAGAAAAGCAGACAGTATGTAATGAGACAGTAGGGCCATTCCAAGAGTTCAAATGTGCTAACACAGGTAGAATTGTTATTATCCTAGGAGGAAATACTAACCTGGATCTCCAGAGTTATTCCAATAATAAATATTAGGAGATTCAACCATAAAAAAGAGGGTAATTTACTGTTTCTCTGAGGCTAACTTTCAAGACCACACAAGAGAGAGGAGATGTAGAAAGAGCATGTGCCTTCTTATAACATCAGTGTAACCTTGGGCTTCTGAAAATTCAATAGGCTGAGATGTTTAAAATAGCTCCCAGCTCAGTTCTTTCTATGGATCATCAACAAACAGTACCTTGTATTACTAATGGAAACTTTTTATGGTGGATGTTGAGCTTCAAATTTGGAATTACTGTTAAAGTTATTTACTTTTTCTTGGAAATTTCTTCTTTTTTTTGTCAAGATTACCAAGTTTTAGGTTTAAAATTAAGTTACAAATAGGCATGAGGATAGATAACATAATTCACACCGTAAAATCAGAATATAGGCTAAAGTTAATCTCTATATAGATATGAGAAAAAGATTTTCTTGGAAAATAAACAGGTGAATTACAGAGCAGAAGGTTTGCATGGCAATCTATTTCTGCTCTCTTTAGAAGGAATACAAATCACTTTTATCTTTTTACTGAAATGGATTTTTGGGATAACTACAGTATGGTTCATGTTATTATATATGGTTGAATACAAATGCACAATTACAATACTTTACAGCTGCTTTTATTATAGAAGAGATAGCCAATCACTATCTGCGGAACAGAACTTCTTAGCTCATAAAATGCTGAAGCCTAGTGTTGTTGTATGATTTTGATCTTTCAGGAGAACCCTCAAGTCTATGACAAAAAGGGAAATTTGGCTGAGGCTTCATTTGCAATGACAATTGCTGTCAGACTCATGAGCATGACCAAGTTAGGCAGAGGCAGACTGCCCAGGACCTCTGTGGTCATCTACCCTGCTTCCCGTACTATGAATGAATCTGGCTCCATCAATTTGTAATTTTATGACTATATACAAGATTCTCATTCTTCAGGTTTATTTTCTTCTGTTGAATGATTGGATCTTCTTGAGGTCTGTGGTTGTTCACTATGTGCTCATTACAGGGTGGGAAAAGAAAATTATCTAGGTGTTTAAGTGAGCTCTAAGAGGCTTTGTGGAATCTACTAGTAAACTAGTGCAGGCTCAGACAAGGGGTGAACAGAAGAAATCAAATGCTGTATCTGGATTTTGTAGTTGAGAAGTCCAGATGTTTGTGGGCAGAAAGGAAGCAGCTGTATGCAACAAGGAGTACTGTAGACTGCCTCCTAAGTCAGGTGCCCTCTCCATGCTTCTCCATAATCCACCAGCCCCATGGTCGGCAAACAGCAGCTCGTGAGCCACATGCTGCTTGAGTGTGGCTTTTCCACAAAATACCACGGCCTGGGCGAGTCTATTTTGAACAAGTGGTGTTAGAAGAAGTTTAAGTTTAAAAAATTTGGCTATCAAAAGAAATTTCAAACTTTGTACTGTTGATATTTGGCTCTGTTGACTAACGAGTTTGCCGACCACTGCAACAGCCCTTAGTACTGAGCTTGTAGGATTCAGCTGGAGGCCCTTCCCACTTATTACCCACTAGACTTTTCAATGCTACAACTATTAGGTGCTAGAGTTCTATCAGTTGAAAAATAGAATTTCCTAACTGCATGGCTCTATAAAGGCAACGTGAAGATCTTTAAGAGAGGAGTAGCAAAATGATAAAATTTTCATTTTAAAGAAGAAAGCTCGTATTCTTTATATATTCTTGCTTTATATCACTTGTAAAAGCATCTAAATGCAAGTGCCAGCTTTATAATTTTAAAAACATCAAATAAAAGAGCTCCTGCTAGAAACACAAAGGAGACTGGAGAATAGGTGAGTCTGCTGGCAGGGAGGGAAACTTGTTAGGAAACTACTGCTCTCAGTAACATGGAGGAAGTGGAGAAGGGATGAAAGGAGGTAAGAGCAAAGGGAATAGAAAGTAGGAGGCATATGAATGATATTCAGTCAGTAACATCAAGAGGAAGAAGCAGAACTTTCAAATATGGGGCTTGGAAAGATATTCCAGAGGCATATAAACATAAAAATAGGGTATAAAATTGTATATATTATATGGTCACTGCATATATTATATTTTTACAAAAATATGCACAGGAAATTCATCAAAATAGAAGTGGTTCACTCTGCATGGTAAGTCAATCATTTTTTTTTTAAACTCCTTCCCTAAATCTTTTAAATTTATTAAAAATATAATTTTTTGTACATTCTGTATATTTTTGAAGCACATTCATTTCAAAAGCAGTTTACTTTCTTAATAAAACTTCTATGGTTGTAAAACTCCCTTGAGAAAAATTGGTCAAAAGGCATACCATATTTCATAATATATTATACTACCTATAATTAATTTTCATGTCTTTGTGAGGTCTCATTGACTATGAAATTAGAATGGTGAAGCAATCACCCTTGCTGTGGATTTTCTCTTTCTGGTCTAGAAATTCACAGCAGAGAGAGGTGACAGGATTGCTGAGGATCATTTGATTACTCAGTAATCACTGTAGTCACATCACTGCATGCTCCTGCCTAAGGACTTTCTCACTTCCATCTGTGTGACTGGTTCTTTTGACTCAAGTGTCATCCTCTCAATAACATCTACTATGTTTATTCTGATTATAAGAATAACGTGTCCCTGTCATCACCATCACCACAGGATTCCCAATATTGTTTTACCTGCTTTGTTTTCAGGGCATTTATCCCCTAATATGTGACATGATTTATTTATTATATTCAGTGTGTTTCACCCCCTAGAATATAAGCTCCTGAAGTCATACATGGATTTTTATTGTTTTTGTTCCCAAACGTGTCTCCATCACCAGAACACTACTAGCACATAATGGATACTCAATAAATATTTGTTGAATTAACATATGCATAAATGAATAATGCATGAAATAATTAAATAACTATTAGATTTAAACAATAATATTCAATTACTTTACAAATAAATATCAGTCATTACTATACTTTACTTTAGAAGTTGCTGACTTTCCACTTAAACATTTATAGAGACTAATTTAGCCTATGGGGTTCAATAAAGTTCACTATTCTTATATATATTTATTAAAGTTTCCTTTAGATTAAAGAAAGGTGAGGATTGTATTAATAATTTCTCTAATTAGTTAAATGTATAAAAATTAAACATATAAATTTTATCAATAAATGATGCAATAAAATTTCACTTTTTGTAATTAGAGCTACCAAATTGTCTTATTTAAATATATTCATTTGTGGTTGAAGACACTGAAAAACCATGTTCACAATTTCTCATTTAACCACATTTGTCTAGTTTTTTAAATCTTTAGTAATGAACAACAAGAAGGAGGGCAAATGCACAAGAAGGCCAGGATACACATTCAACTTCAATTGTAAGAGCAATTTAAACTACACTTTACTGTGTTGTGGAGTTATGGCACCCTCTAGTGTTTGCTATGCAGAAATGCTATGAGAACAAATGCAAAAGTTAAAAATTTGGGCAGCTGGACAAAATGACATGACTAAGTGACAGATTATATGTTTAATTTTAAAATATAGAAGAAAAGTTGAGAAATCAAAATGGCATAAGAATAATAAACCATTTAAATAACTTTGAAACAATAATACTCCAAGAAAAAAAAGGACAAAGGCAAATTAGTTATTAAAGAAGAAAAATTTTTAAAAATATTCTAGAACTCTGTGAATAAGCCATTTCAAAATGTAAAATTTGATAAAAGAAAATTATAAAATAACACAAAGAGTTTATCTCTAAATACCCAGGAGCTATAATTGTAAGGCTTTTTCATAAATAGCCTCAACCCTTAATACCTATGGATAGTATTCTAACAAGTCCTCAGTATATTAAGAGCTCCCAGTTAATTAAAGAACATTTTATTATACTAGGGTGTGACTATTTTAGCTTATTCAGTATTTTGTAACTTAGATAAATTTCTTTATTGGCTAATGCTGCTGCAGGTAAATTTACAATGACACTAATGTTACTTACACCAATACAGGCTTTCCCGATATTCTAGGATGTCTTAGCACTTCTGACATTGTCTCTTTTGTCTCTTCCATTCTCTCTTCATCACTAGAATCCACGACAAATATGACCCCATAGGACTCAGCATAGTAATTCTTCCAGATTCCCCGAATTCTTTTTCCACCTCCCAAGTCAAAGATGGTGATTTCAAACTTTCCTTGTCTAAGGTCAATTTTGGAAAATCCAACAGTAGGAGCTACGTCTTCGGGACATTCTGTTTTGAATGATATGAAAAAAACAATCTTTAGACTTTAAATCAATAACAATTTAACTTCCAACTTAAATAACATACAATGGAATGAAATGTGATGGAATGTTGGAATAGAATGTTTATTATTTCCTTACTCAATGAGCACTACATCTAAGCAGCATACTGGTCTGGGGGAAGGGTGGATAATACAAAATACCCAACTAGAATTTACAGTCTATGCAGACAGGCGTTTCTGTCTGTTTTTATTCATTTGTTTTTATTAATATACTACAGGTATGGTGCACGAAATTCATGCACGGGGGGTGGGGGGGTAATGTGTCCCTCAGCCCAGCCTGCACTCTCTCCAATCTGGGACCCCTCAAGGGATGTCTGACTGCCCATTTAGGCCCAATCCCACAATCCAGGACTGCAGGCTCCCAACCGCTCACCTGCCCTCCTGCCTGATTGCCCCTAACTGCTTCTGCCTGCCAGCCTAATCACTCCCTAATCATTCCCCTGCCTGTCTGATAGATGCCTAACTGCTCTCCTGCTGGCTCAATTGCCCCTAATTGCCCTCCCTGCCAGCCTGGCCCCCCCCCCCATCTGCCCTCCCTTACAGGCCAGGTCCCTCCCAACTGCCCTCCCCTTCAGACCTGTTCCCTCTTAACTGTTCTCTCCTGCAGGCCTGGTCACCACTAACTTCCCTCTCTTGCTGGCCTGGTCCCCCCAACTGCCCTTCCCTGCTGGCCTGATTGTCCACAACTGCCCTCCCCTGTTGGCTATCTTGTGGTAGCCATCTTGTGTCCACATGGGGATGGCCATCTTATGTGCTGGAGTTATGGTCAATTTGCATATTACTCTTTTTATTAGATAGGATACTCAACTCCTAGAATAACTGCTACTGTAAAAGAAGTACCTAATTAAGTATCTGTTGAATGAATAAATGAACTTTTGCCTTTAAGATATTTACTCTCCAAGTTACAAACAATAAAAATTTAAATCCTTCAACACCACAGACATCTCCAGGAACCATAACAACATCTACAGTTTTGTGGTGTTTTTTTTTAAAATCTGAACATTTAGAGAACAGTTTAAAAGAACCAAAGAATAGCAGAAGCTAAGGACCACTCTTTTTAATTAACTGAATTCAAGCTATAATTAGATTTAATAAGACTTGTGAGGGCAGCTTAAAAATATAAAAAGTAGCTGAAACCAGTTTGGCTCAGTGGATAGAGCTTGGGCCCGCAGACTGAAAGGTCCCAGTTTTGATTCCGGTCAAGGGCATGTACATTGGTTGCGGGCACATCCCCGGTGGGGGGTGTACAGGAGGCAGCTGGTCAATGTTTCTCTCTCATCAATGATTCTAGCTCTCTATCCCTCTCCCTTCTCTGCAGAAAATCAATAAGATATATTAAAATATATATTTTTTCATATATATATAAACAATGAAATCTACATATATATATGTATATATGTATATATATATGTAGATATATATATATGTAGATTTCATTATTTCTACAGGAACATGTTTTGGATGTTCTTGTAAATTTATAATTGAATTTTTTTTTTTTTACTTCAGTATATGACAAAGATGGTACTAGAAGTATATGACTATAACTGCTAAGGGTTGGTAATCACAATATGAGATTTAAAAGATCACTCATGTTCAAGAAAGACAAACTAGAAGCTGGGATTTAGACCTTAAAGCTAAATTACGGACAAGCTGAACACAGTGGTTAGAGCAAACCCTTAAGATTGTTAATGCAGACTAAAGTGAGTTCTGAAGAGAGAATTGTGAGCCACAGAAGATATTTGATCAGACCAATAATATAATTAAGTTGACTAAAGTGTGATTTATTAAGATTCATCTTTGCAAAAGTCTCTAGAATTGACTAGAAATATGAGTGATAGCCACTTTTTAAAGTGCAATGAAAATAAAAAAAGAGATTATGAAATAGTAATAGGACCTGATGTCTCAATGGTTATGGAGAAAAGTTTAAACTTCATGTCTGTCTTTTTCATTCACTCTCCACCACTGGGATCCATAGCAAATATTTCATTGGACTTTGTTTACAGTTGGAGGGTCGCAAACTACATAGGGCTTTTAAAATTTAAACCAATCAAATTAAATAAAATTAAAAATTAAATTCCTCAGCTTTATTAGCTACATTTCAAGTGTTCAGAAGCCAATATGTGGCTATTTTCCCATCTTACTGGACACAGCCAATCTAGAACATACCCCTCATTGCAGAAAGCTCTAATGAATAACCCTGGTCTAGAGGAACTTATCCCACCTCCTCAACATGTGCATTACAAAGATAAATTTGAAAGGCTTCTGCTGCTAGGCTTAGGTGTGCCTGAAACAGACTTGCAATGTACCACTTCTTTTCACTAAGCACTCCAGGGCACTTTACACAGCTTCCTAGAAAGCTAACAAAGACATTACAGGTCACATTTTTGTAAGAGTTCCTTATTTAGAAGGGAAAAAGGCAAGTTTAAAAGCAATATAAGCAACCAGATATTCCAAAAACAGGATTACACTAGATTTCACATTTAAAAATGTGAAATCTAGTCCAGGCCAGAACCGATTTCCACAGTTAAAATAGGCAGCTGATCTTTGAGGAGGATTTGAGAGAGATCTTCAGGACATTATCAGTGAAAATAAATAACTATGCTGGAGTAGGGATAAGGGAACTAAAATGTACAGGAGACCTGCTGTACCAGGATTTGTTAGGCATCAGGATGTACAGGTAAATCAGGTCGGGTTGTCCTTTAAGAATACACAGTGCAATACAGAGAGACAGAATATTAACTAGATTTTAGCATAAGAACCAATATATTGTGTGGAAAACTCCGGAGAGGATACTGTGAAGGTGTTATGGACTGCATGTCTGTGTTCCCACAAAACTCTTATGTTAAACTCCAGGCCCTGAATATGATGATATCTGAAAGTGGGCCTTTGGGAAGTAATTAGGTTTAGTTGAAGTCATGAGAGTGAAGCTCCCATGATGGGACTAGTGTCCTTATCAAGGGCACAGAGAGCTTGTTTCCCCTCTCTCTTTCTTCCACCTGAGGACACAATGAGAAGATGACTGTCAGGAAGAGGGAAACATCAAGAAGCCGACCGTGCTGGCACCATGATTGCAGACTTCCAGTGTCTGGAATCATGAGAAATAACTGTTTATTTTTGAAGCCTCGGTCTATGGCATTCTGTTATAGAAACCCAAACTAATAAGACAGTGAGCATTGTTTATGGTATTCTGTTACAGCAGCACAAATAAAAAAAGGGCACTCAAGAGGAAAGAGATAAAGAGAAAAGAAAGATGGAGATGAGTTGTGATCTAGAAAGGCTTCAGAAAGGAAATGAAATGGGAGTGAAGTCTGAAAAGCTACAAAATTGTAACAAAGAAGGGAGAAGAACATTTTAGGCCGGAAACCAATGTAAACACGGATAAAATGATAGCAATATTCCCAGGAACCTAATTAAGATTAAGCAAATTTTTTCAAGGCAGATACAGAACTAAAGTACAGGATTCAAAAAGCCTGCTTATTTTGATACATCAAATGCCCTACCCTTCTTCTCTATTCTTTCCTCTGGTTCTTATGCATGATTCTGTGCTTTAAAATTAAAGACTAAATATTCAGGTTACAATCTTCCCCTAAATCTTTCTCTGATGATCCCTTCCTACTTTAATTCAGCATCATAAGTTTTCTTCTTGCTGGTTTTCACAATAGTCTATACCTTCCTAATAACTGAGACCTATCTCTGTATCCTTAGCATTCAGCACAAAGCATAGAGTGATTCAATTCATAACACCAGACTGCTAAGATAGCTGCAGCTGCTATCCTATGTCCATCTTTCTTTTTCCTTCCATATATTTATCCATTCATCTATGCTCATAATTATTTATTGAGATCAGGCATCATATAAGAATCAGGGGTAAAAAGACATATGGTTCCCAACCCTAAGAATTTCATAAAGGATGTGTTAAGAAGACATTCTCTATAAAGTCTAAGATAAAATGAAAATACATAATCAATAATTATTTATTGAACATTTGTTATGTGCTAAGCACTGTGTAAGGTACTAGATATATAAAGATTAATAATTAAAATCTTATCCTAAAAAACTATTACATAAGAAAATAGGAGGAAAATATATAAGCACATAACTATAATATAATAAAGATTATATTACTATCTAACAACCGTAGGGACCAATTTACACAAAGAATTGTCCCACCCAAAATATCAATAGTTATTTAGGAATTTTTAGGAATCAGCATTGGATAGAGAATCCTGGATTACTTTAGCTGAGCACATAGCTTTTTAGGATAAATACCACAGTCCCTAGTCTCTATGGCAGTTAGGTATGGCTGAGAGAGCAGGTTCTAGGGAGTGTGCTGGTGGAATACTGTTAGATGTTTAATTGTGGAACTCTGATAGGTAGAGTTTGCCATGTCCATGGTGAAAATACTCCCACTACAGACAATTTCAAACTACCAGCATGAGTTTGAAAACGCAGAGTTGGAAAAGAGATGTGCACATTGGCTCTTGCTTAACTGGTATGAGGCAATAAGCACAAGTAGGAACCAGATCCAGACCACCATTTATTCCAGTCAATGGCAGGTGGTGTCTCCTGGTCCCACACTGAAAGGAAAGAAGGATGGCCTCCCCTTGTCCTTCATCTCTTCCTTCCAGCTGAAATGAGCCACCGTGGACCAGGCAGGCAAGGGAGAATACTTGTAATAGCAAAGCAAACAAGAGAAGGAACCGGAGTTCCTAACACCATGGAGCTACTATACAAGCCATAGACTACTTCTGACTGCATTGTTATGAGAGAGAGAAATACATTCTATTTTGTAAAATCACTGGTATTTTGGATCTCTGTTAGAACAACCACTTCTGCACCCAATTAATACAATCATTTTGACAACCCTGAAGAAGAGAAGGTGATGCATAACCAATGGACACAGACAATAGGGTGGTGAAGGCCTGAGGTGGGGGCGGTCTAGAAGGGGTCAATGGGAGGAAAAAGGGGACATATATAATACTTCCAACAACAGGGAGACTTTCAAAAAAGAAAGGGGGGGATTAAGCTCAAGATAGGGAAAGTCTCTTAGATTAGGAAGCTATAGTAATACTATAGGTGAAAGACACTGTAGTCTGGATTTAGACAATGGCAATACAGTTAAAGAGGAAAGAGATATACCTCAAAAGAAACAAGCAAATATCAAAAACAAAGAAACAAACAGAGAGAAGAGCCAGAAATAAGCTGAAGAGAAGTCATGAGTAAAATGTTTTAAGAATATTGGCTGCTACACTTAAGGTGTGGCCTAACCTACAAAACAAATAAAATATCCTTTGGGAATTTACAGTTTGGAGAGGTGGAGAGATACATAAACAAAAAGGCAATTAAGTAGCAGTTCAAGCAGGTTTAGTAAAGATAAGAGTAGACCAAACAGAGGAAATAGTTCTACTCAAGATAATAGATGAGGGCAGCAGCAGATTAGAAAGGAGTTCTTTAAGAAGGAGACTATATTACAAAAATACATATTCAGAGATAAGTAGGTATTCTATCTTAAAGGCTCAATTTGAAAAAGTTCAAGTACTTCTTTATAACTGGAATCTTTAAAAAAGAAAAACATCTTCTAACTCCGATAAAGAAACAAAAGGATACAAGAAGGTAGAAATAGGCAGAGAAAGCGCCATAGGGGAGGGGACCTTTTTTCTGCTAAGGGCCATTTGGATATTTTTAACATCATTTGTGGGACTTACAAAATTATTAACTTAAAAATTAGCTTGCATTTAATCAAACATTTAGTTAACTCACCCCAAATGACTCGGCAGGGCCACACCAAATGATTTTATGGGCCTTTTATGGTGAACAGGTCGCAAGTTCCCCTACCCCTGCTCTAATGGAAAGAGGATACTCTAGGTGCATATAACAAATTAGATGACCTGATGAGCAGATTCTTAGAATGTGTTCCCTTCAATGTTAAGACTTTGAAGGAATAAAGAAGAGAAGATGTTTAGATAAAGGAGTCATGACCGGAAAGCCAAATCTGGCTCACCAATGCTGCTGTTTTTTTAATCCTCATCTGAGGATATGCTTTTACTGATTTTAGAGGGAGATGGGAAAGGAAAGAGGAGAAAAGGGAGAGGAGGAAGGGGAAAAGGAAGAAGAGGAGGAAGAGAGAAACATGGATGTGGGATTGACACCAACAGATTTTCTCTGGCGCATATCCTAACCTGGTGCATGGGATGACGCGCCAATTAACTAAGCCAACCAGCTAGGTCTTACCAACTTTTTGTTTATTTGTTTTTAACAGGTGTTGATTGTCACAGATTTTGCGCATGCAGCCCCGCCCACCCACACATGCTTTGCTGTACACGCAGTCCTGCCCACTAGCGCATGCCTCGCCACACATGTAGCCCCACACACCTGTGTACACCTCGCTACACACACAGCCTCCTGGTGACCAGCCTTTAGTTGTTACAGCATTACGACCACTGGGTTTTTATTATATAGTGTGTAGTACAAGGCACCAAAGTAAGACTAAATAAATACATCTAGTAAGATATAACATAAATGGCATAAAACCCTTTAGTGATACAGAGGTCCTATCCTATATAATAAAGTGGTAATATGCAAATTGGCCATCACACTCTCACAAGATGGCTGCCTACAACAAAGCTGTCAGGGGAGTTAGTGAGGGACGACCAAATGACTGAACAAGCAGGCTGGGTGGGACGACCAGACCAGCAGGGGGGGTTAGTGAGGAACAACCAAAAAATTGAACAGCAGGCTGTATGGGGTGACCAAAGGGGGGGGGGCTATGAGGGGCAACCAGGCTGGGACGGGGGAGCAGTTGGGGGCAACCAGGCTGGCAGAGGGGGGTAGTTGCGGGCAACCAGGCCCACAGGGGGAGGAGGGGCGGTTAGGAGTGACCAGACCAGCAGGGAGGGGGAAGCTGGGGATGATGTGGCAGCAGTGGGGGGCAATAAGGGGTGACCAGGCCAGCAGAGGGGGGTAGTTAGAGGTGACCATGCTGGCGGGGAGTGGGGCAGTTAGGAGCGACCAGGCCGGCACACAGAGGCAGTGAAGGATGATCAGGCCAGTGGGGGGGAGGGAGGTGGGGGAGAGGAGGGCAGTTAGGGGTAACCAGGCAGCAGGCAGGTGAGCAACTGGGAGCCAGTGGTCCAGGATTGTGAGAGGTATATCTTGATTGGAGAGGGTGGAGGCTGGACTGAGGGGAACCCCCCACCCTTTGCACGAATTTCATGCACTGAGCCTCTATACACACACACACACACACACACACACACACCCCGTGGGAAGTTGGGGGCAATCAGGCCGGCGGGGGGGCGGGCAGTAAGAGGTGACCAGGCCTGTGAGGGAAGGGGGGCATCTTTGCATTTATTCAAATATGAAACATGATAACAGGCTGGTATTATAATATAAAAACAGATTCTATTCACCACATTAGCCACTGTATAGTGAGAATATAAAATAACAGAGTACACATTACCTGTACTCAAGAAATATGTAATAATGAAACTGATAAATAAATCAGAATAATTTAGTAATAAATATTTTCTGCTTACCTCCTTGGATTCCCTTTGCCGTTGCTGATTTACCAGCATTATCAAGTCCCACCATCACAAGAGTCACCTTTCTTAAAAGAACAAAAATTTTTAAATCATTTTGAGTTAATTCAAAATTGGAAAAAATAAAACAAATACATTCATTCAAGCAACATTTAGGAGGATCTACTATACAAGACAATCAGCTTGATATTAAGGGTAAAATAATGAATAAGTATAGATTAAAAAGCAAAATTCATAAAGAATACCTTTAAAGCATCATTCTTTCATTCTCTAAGCAAAAAAAAAAAAAGGGGGGGGGGGGGAGACTGGATTATAAAATAGAAACCCAAAGGATAAAAAAATAAGGAAAAGAAAAAAGAAAAATGGAGAGAGGGAGATGGAGTCTAACGTGAGTTATGTATCATGACTAAAGATTAAATGTTCTGATTGAATTCTAAGGATTATCAGAAATCTGCTTTTTCTTATGACATTACATAAGAAAATAATTATTGTTATATTCAGGCACTACTTGTGTGCTAAACTCTGTTTTTTGAAATATGTGGTACCTTACCAAGTATAAATTTTCCATATAGTATAGTCACATGACTATTAAATGCTAACATATTTTCAAAGAGCACTACAATTATAAAGCTTAAAATGTATCTGATGATGTAGCTAAACTTCACAGAAACAGAAAAAAAAAAAAAATACAGTCTAGTTCAGTTTTACAGCTGAGAAGTCATAAGCCCAGAGTTGGAAGACATAAGGCAACAAATAGGTTTAACAAGAACCAAAATTTAATTCACCTAAATCCTAGGAAATTCTTTAACATGGGACAGGTACAAAGGAACAAACCTATTATACTGATCCTGTGAACATGACAATTCAGTCTACCACTAAAACTCATTTCTGTTCTAGGGTACACTACTGCACAATATGAGATGAGACCATCCATTAACAGCATGGATTTGAGAATACAGAGAGAAAGCCACAGCATAACACAGCTAGCTGCTGGGTTAAAACCACAAGGCACCCTAGCCAGTTTGGGTCAATGGATAGAGCATTGGCTTGTGGACTGAAGAGTTCTGGGTTCAATTCTGGTCAAGGGCACATGCCCGGGTTGCAGACTTGATCTCTATTGGAGGAGTGGGGGCGCAGGAGGCAGCCAATCAATGATTCTCTCTCATCATTGATGTTTCTCTCTCTCCCTCTCCCTTCCTCTCTAAAATCAATAAAATTTTTTAAAAAAGTACAAGGCTACAGGAGGCAACCAGTCAATGTTTCTCTTTCTCGCTCTCTGTTCCTCCCTTCCACTCTCTCTGAAAACTAATGGAAAAAATATCCTCAGTTGAGAATTAACAAAAAATAAAATAAGTAAATTACGATATATATATATATAATGTTGGAAGGTGATTACGTACCATAGGAAAAAGAACAGAGCAGGATAAAGGGGAGCAGTAGTGGGGATAGGGGGTGGGTTGCAGTTTCATGTCGGGTGACCAGGGTGGGTCTGATTGAGAAGGTAAAGCTTGAGCAAGGCCTTGAAAGAGGGAGTTCTTCATCTGGGGCAAAAGAGAACAGCTGGACCAAAGGCACTAAAGTGGGGACATACCGGCATGTTCCAGTACCAGCAAGAAAGCCGCTGTGGTAAAACTCAGTGAGAGCCCCAGCCTGATGGCTTAGTTGGTTAGAGTCGCCCCATGCACTAAAAGGTGGCGGGTTCAATTCTCAATCAGGGCACATACTCATGTTACAGGTTCCATCCCTAACAGGGCCCATATGGAAGGCAACCTACTGATGTTTGTTCCTCTCTCTCCCTTCCTCTCTCTAAAATCAATAAAAGCATATTCTCCAATGGGGGTTAAAAAAACAAACAGTAAGAAAGGGGCAGGGAAGGGCAGGAGATCAGAAACACATCAAAGGCAAGATCATGTAGGACCTTCACACTATGGTGAGGACTTCGGCTTTTGTGAGTGAAATTAATTTACTCTCTGTGTTAATTTCCTTAGTCTTTTCCAGATGTTTCAACCATCCCTACCCACAATGGGGAATAAACAGAAGGATGTCTATGCTTGAGTCAGTGAAAGAACAAAGCAACCACAATTAGCAGCATCCCCTTACATCATGCCCAGTCACCAGTGCTGGGATCAGAGAGAATGCCAAAGAGATCAACAGCAGATTATGAATTTAAGGAGATGAGATAGTATGTAGATACTACTATCCATGTGAAAATTTTACCTGCATTATCAATTTTGAAAAATATCAGTTTACTTCTTGAGAAAATTATGATGTATTTAGAGTATAATTTATTATTTTGTTTGAAGAACTCATAACTAACAATTATTAAGGAATGAGATTTAAATGCAAAATAATTTTCTAAACAAAATATAGTAAATAACTATACTAAAAAAAATAAATAATGTAGCATTTTAAGCAATATTTTAGGAAATTCAAGACACTACATATACAGTGAATTAGATTAAAATTATGTTAAAGTTAATTACATTATTCTTTAATAATTTATAATGCAGTTCAAGATCTACAGTGCTACTAACATCATCATGAACCAAAACAATTACTTTTGGAAACATATCACTATTTACTGCTTGTTTGCACCATTTACTCTATATATTAATATATTGATGAAGCACCTATTATACAATAGCAAATAAACATCCACAATCCCCAGCCCTCATAAACCATAGAGCCTAGCAAGAAAATAGGCAATGGAGAGGTAATTATGTGTGATGACTGTTGTCAAGAGAAGCACAGGCAGCCACAGGAAGAGATAACAGGCAATTGTGCTTATTCTGGAAGACAAGGAAGACCACATTACAAACATGCAGCAACTGGTCAGCAGTTCCTAGAAACATCATAAAACCTTTCACATCCCTTATGAGACAAAGTGAAACATCTTAAATTACCTTTTAAGGAAAATGCCCCTTCATTCTCTTAAATGGGTAGTATCTTATGTCCACCTCCCAACTCCATCCTTGTTAATATTTCAGTTTTTAAAAAATCTTCTTCCAGCCCTGGTTGGTGTGGCTCAGTTGGTTGAATGTCATCTCATGCATCAAAAAGATCAATGGTTCAGTTCCTGGTCAGGACACATGCCCAGTTGCAGGCTCCATCCCCAGTGGGGGCATGCAAAAGGCAGCTGATACTTGTTTCTCTCTCACATCAAGGACTTTCCCTCCCACCCTCTTTTTCTCGCTCTAAAAACATTTTTGTAAAAATATTCCAAATTATTATATTACTATTACACATTGTTCTTAAAGCTAGCTACCAAGAATGTTAGCTTTTCTTTAAATGTTTTCATTGTTTAAAAATGTATCTTGCCTTTGCTACTTTGGCTCAGTGGATAGAGCTTTGGCCTGCTGTCTGAAGGGTTCCATATTCAATTCCCATCAAGGGCACATGACCGGATTGCAGGCTCAATCCCCAGTGAGGGGGCATGCAAGAGACAGCCAATCAATGATTTTTCTCTCATCACTGATATTTCTCTCTCTCTCTCTCTCTCTCTCTCTCTCTCTCTCCCTTCCTCCCTCTTCCTTCCTCTCTGAAATCAATAAAAAATATATTTTTAATATATTTTTATTGATTTTTTACAAAGAGGATGGGAGAGAGATAGAGAGTTAGAAACATCGATGAGAGAGTCATAGATCAGCTGCCTCTTGCACACCCCGCTAGTGGGGACATGCCCGCAACCAACATACATGCCCTTGACGGGAATCAAACCTGGGACCCTCTATCCTCTGAGCCAAACTGGTTGGGGCAAACCACAACATCTTGACCCAAGTTATGTTTCAGTTCCTGAGCCCTAAGGTGAAACGACCACTGGCTATTTTCCCGTGAGACCAGACAGAGAGACATTGGAAAAGACCACAGAGCTATCCTCACAACCTGAAGAAGATGACTCACTAACCTTACCCCACCTCCAACCAATCAACTCCCATCTCAACCTAATCCCCTAATCCACCATGACTTGAGATTTTGCCCTATATAATATGTAACCTACACATCTTAGAGAAGTTTCAGCTTTAGAGCATTTGCTTCCCATTCTCCTGAACGGTGCCATTCATCAATAAAATATCCACTGCAATTCTCAGGGTCTAGTGTTTGGCTTTGCTAGCGCCAAGTGAACAAACTCTTCCTGTTCTATAAAAACAGTAAGAAGAGTTTGAACATGTTTATGTACTAAAGAAGAAATAGAAGCAAAGATTTATTTAGTTGGATAATAAAATTGAATACTACATTTTTGGGATAAAAGTTTAGATTTATCCTTGCATCCCAGAAATCCTATCATTGATCTCTGGCCAAATGCTGAACAACTGAAGTTCACCAGGAAGTGGGAAGAAATGAAAAAAATAGCACAGGCATAAGAATTAGCCTTGGAAAAGAAAATGGTCCCTTTCTCCACTATCATAGAAAATAAGTATAAAATGAATCGAGGAGGGTAATTTACTAATCAGCACTTGTCTCATAGGATCATAGGTGTTATTTACTAAGTACTATGTGCAACACATCAGGTACTTGTGTAAATCTTCTTTCTCAAAATGCTGCATGATAGAAATTATCCACGCTTGACATAAAAAAATTTCTAAAACTCCTAGGATTCAGACTTGAGTCTGTTTGACTCAAAACACTATACTGAGAAATTGGGAAGACACCACCCTACCAAGTGATCAAGGTTAACACCATCAGTAACAACACATATCAACATCACACATCCCCGATGTAATGTACTGAGAAGGATACCTCACCTTTGTGGTATCCCTCTGCCCAACTAATGCAACAACACCTTTACCAAATCACAACAAAACACCAAACACGTTGAAGGTTACAAAACATTTAACAAATACTCTTCAAAGTCTCAAGGTTTTAAAAGACAAGGAAAGACTATTACATACAGATTGATGAACTACTACATACAGATTGAGGGAGACCAAAGAAACATGGCAAAGCAATATGGAATCCTCGAATAGATCTCTGACAGTAAAAAAGGGCATTAGGTGTTAAAACTGTTAAACTCAGAATAAAGACTGTAATTTAGTTAATAGCATTGTATCAAAGTTAACTTCTTAGCTTTGACCACTATATTGTGGTCTCAAAATAAAAATTATGTTTTAAAAAACCCACACTGCCTGGCTGTTGTGACTCAGTGGTTGAGCATCGACCCATTAACCAAGAAGTCCACCAGTTTGATTCCCAGTCAAGGCAAATGTTCTAGTTACAGGCTCCACCATCAGTATGGGGCATGCAAGTGGCAGCGAACCGATGATGTTTCCCTCTCATTAATGTTTCTATCTCTCTCTGAAAATCAATAAAAATATATTTTAAAAATAAATAAAAACCCAACACTACATTGCACTGCTTCTATAGGAGCAGAGCACTTATATAAATACTAGAGGCCCAGTGCATGGATTCGTGCACATTAAAAGGAAATTAATTAGAAGGTGGCCAGAGGGGCATGACTGGGCCAGAAGGGTATCTGCAGAGTTAGCGGGGTCCCTCCAGCAGGTAAGGTCCCTCGGCCTGGCCGGTGGGGATTGGGCCAAAACCAGCAGTCCAACATCCCCCAAGGGGCCCTGGAGTGCCAGAGAGCACTCTGCAAAGTTGTTAGTGCTCAACAGCTCCTACCAGTATGCATCATAGCTACTGGTTGGAGCATTTGCCTCCAGTGGTCATTGCACATCATAGCTACTGGCCAGACGGTTGAACAGTCAGTGGTCGCTTAGGCTTTTATATATATAGATGGGTCTAGCTATTGGTCTATTCAAAACGAATTTACACAGACTGAAAACCTAGTTCAGGTTCTGACCGATGGTTAACAATAGCATGCCTATTGTCCCTGAATTGCCTGGCATCCTGGTCCTCACTCCTGACCTAGACTGGTGCCTTAACAATTGACCTCTGACTCCTACCTTGCCCTTACCAGAGGTTCCAAATACTGCATCTAATCCGTGGTTATTGTAGTTGTCCTCAATAATGTGCTCACTGCGAAGGCAACTAAGTGAGGACAGGTGGGTAAACCCAAAAAGTGCAGGATATATTAGGTAAGTCAACAAAGTAACCCTAAAACATAATGTATTAATAAACATCATATCCTCTTACATGCTCACATTGTAAAACGTAACTCCATAAAATATAAACATGGAGAGAAAACGCAATAAGGAGCAGCATAACAAAAAAAACAAAAAACCTTCAAATTACAAAGTAGTAGCTCATAAAAGCAAAAATTTGATATATATTTTAAATCAGTTTGCTCACCTCCCATTTATTCCAGTAACTGCAACTACTTGCCAACATTATTTACATTAGGACGATTATTGCTAAGGAGTGATCAAAATAAATACAATATTTTGCAAATATTTACTTAGGCACTATTATGAACTAGTCATTGAACAATAATACTTAAAAGATGGGTGTAATCTAACTTGTTTTTAATTTTTTGGCTGTTAACTCGATCCAACAATGAAAGATATTTACCTAAGCCTCTATATTAGGCCATGTAGATCAAGGAGTTCCCAGAGAATTACACTGTAAACCATATATGTAAGTTTAAATTTTCTAGTAACTGCATTTTAAAAGTGGAAATAAAAAGTGAAATCAGTTTAATCCTTTACATCCAAAAGTTATTTCAACATGTAATCACACTGAAAAAAAGACATGATATTTACTTATTCTCTTTTTTTGCATAATAAATCTTCTCTATTAGGACTAGCCACATTTCAAATGCTCAACTGCCACATGCAGCAAGTCCCTACTCTACTGGACAACACTGATCTAGATGCTAATTGGACAAAGATACATTCTCCTTTCTCTGAACTCTATCTTTTCTTTAAACAACTGACCCCGATGTTACACTACACCTGCTAAGAGAAGCAGACACAAAGAATGATGAATTAAACTGAAAAATTCCTTTGGAGTTCAAGCTTTTTGGGTGTTTTTAGTCAAAAAAAGACCTGGTAGCCCTACTCAGTTTCACTCAGTGGACAGAACATCGGCCTGGGAACTGAAGAGTCCCTGGTTCGATTCCCTTCAAGGCATGTACCTTGGTTGCTGGCACATCCCCAGTGGGGGGTGTGCAGGAGGCAGCTGATTAATGTTTCTCTCTCATTGATGTTTCTATCCCTCTCCCTTCCCCTCTGTAAAAAAAATCAATAAAATATTTATATTTTAAAAGACCTGGTATTGTGGCCTCTTCTAAAAACAAAATACATTTTTAAAAAGCAGAAATAGGAGAGAAAAAAAAGGAAAAAGAAAAGAGAACATTATGAGTAATCCTGAAATCTTAGTAGAGATTCTGTTATCAGCACATAACATGATTGGAACAAATATATACACCCAAACACATCTTTGACTCTATCAGTCAACCATATTACTTATATTTAAAAAGTTCAAATCCAGTTAAGAGGAATTTTAAGTTTTGTTTAGAGTACATTTCTTTTCCAAATGTAGACAAATATATTTTTATCCTTATAATACTTTTCAGATTTACTCTTTATAGGATAGCTCATCCTTACTGCAAATTCTATGCTTGAAATGTTAATTAAAAAAAAATTTTTTTTTTACTACAAATTACCCCTAGCCTAATTCCAAAGTAGAACTTTAAGAAATCATTAAAAGAGTAACAAACTTAAGCTTTCTTTATAGAACATCATTTTCACTGACTCCTTCCTAGTACAGTGCCTCTGGCCCATAATATTTTCTCAACAAATATCTGCTGAGAAGTGGATGGATGAATATCTAGTATCGGGCAATGAGTATTAATATATCTAGCATACCCTACAGTTAAGAAAACACTTTCCATCAGCCACTCGCATTTAAGACAACACTCCTGAGGCACAAATGTTATCACCCCTCATTACATATATGAGGAAGGTGGGGCCAAAAAAATGTTAAAGTCATACACTGTAATTATGAATTAGTGGAGCCACATTTCAAGCCCAAGTAAATCCCCAAACAAAATGTGTGTGTGTGTGTGTGTGTGTGTGTGTGTGTGTGTGTGTGTGTTGGGAAGGACTGTGTGAATGTCTTGAAAACGATATCCCATGCTTCTCTACTTAAAAAAAAAAAAAAATCCTCACTACAAAAACTTCAGAGGAGACATACACACGTGCACAACATCCACAACTTTTAAAGTATTTGGACCCATTTAAATGGAAACAACAAGCGCTCTTGATGAAGTCTGGCACCTAGACAAGCAGGTTGCATCCTTACGTTCCTCCCTCCGAATCCAACAGGGAGGGACGGACCAAACGGGGAGGACCGCGGCCCCGCGGCCGGACAGGCTCTCCCCGGGCCCAGGGCGGGCGGCCCCCCGCCCAACCGCCCGGCGCAGCGGCCCGGCCGCTCTCCCGGAGGCGCGGCGGCGGCTCAGCCTACCTGACGGGCTCCTGCCGCCGCTGGAACCAGCTGCAGCAATGGGCCATCAGACCGAACATCCCCGGCCGCTGCGCCCTCCGCCTCCCATCCGAGCCTGCAGCGGGGCCGAGTCCCGAACCGCCTTCCCTACGAAAAGCCCGGCGCGGTGAGCCCCCCGGAGGGCACGGGAGGGAGGGGACGGCGGCGGTCAGTCCGAGCAAAACCGGAATAATCGCGCCGGCCCGCGAGCGGACAACGACGGAGGGATGACGGCGGAGGAGGAGGCGGCACAGATTCACACGCCCGAGCGGGGCTAGCGGGCCGAGCGAAGAAAACCCCGCGTCGACGTGCTGACGTCCCTCCCCGGCGTGCCGGGCCCTTCCAAGCCCCGCCCATACGCCCCTCCAATCATCGTTCGAGGGCCGGCGGCGGGGGCCTCTGAGTGGCTGGAGGGGCTGGCTCTCCTCCTTCTCACTCCCACCCCCAAAGGTGGGAAGGAAGAGGGGGCGGGGTCTAGAAGGAGGTGGATTCCCGGGACGATTATTCTCGTTACTAGGCAACGGTAGTGTCCAGCGATGATCCCAGGAATCCAGGACAACAAATCTCAGGAGAGGTTTACCTGTACCATACATCCATCCCAAAGTGTGTGACAGCCCAGGGTGCTGCTCCTCCTCCGTCTCCAATCACGGCTGAGATCCAAAGATCTCAGGTCTTGTGCGTGTTTTGTTTTGTTGTATGCACCAGAGATGGGGATCCACTGGGATTACTGCAGACTCTGACTGCACAACTATAGAAACAATACATTGGGGGAATTATTACAAAGACAAGGGGAAAACCTCATTTCCTAGATATATCAATAGTTCAGATGAGCGTGACATGTTCACTTGTATAATGTTATTGCTGTTTGTTACACAAAGTGGAAAATGGAATTGTATATTTATTGTGTGGCGTGGTAGGATTGCTAAAGAAATATATGTTTATTGTAGAAAATGTAAAAAAAAAAAAATAAAAATAAAAAAAGGAATAAGATTTAGACAATAAGATGTCACACTCACTACCCAAAGATAACAATTGTTAACATTTTGATGTATGTTCTTTCCAGGTATTTTAGATACATAGATTGCTAGCTATTTGGTTTCTGCAAGATTGAGCTGGTGAACTATTGGCTCTTTTGCAACCTGTTTTGTATTATTTAAAGAGACTTGTAATATCTTTTTGTAATAGTATTGGAAAAAGAAATGACAAGTGAATTCCTGTAGGAAAAAAATCATATAAGGGTCTGTGTATGCATTCAGATCCTACTAATATATTTTCAAATCCTGGTAAAAGGAGAGAAGGCCCTGGGAAACCTAGTATATCCAGGGGGAAATAGTGGTTTGGAGCTAAGATAGAGTTTTTAAATTATTCTTTGTCCTTTACTAATTTATATGATCCTAATTCAAACTCATACATTACTTACAGTTTACTATCTCTGAAACAAAGTACTCCAGCTATAAAAGGAGAATAATAATATCTCCTTTGCAAGGTTGCTAAGATGATGAAATTAGAGAATTAAATCTCCAGTGTGATTTCTAACAAATGAGAGCAGATTTGGAAGTTGGTGTTACCTGTCTCATAAACATTAATGGCACATATCCTCGTACCTTTTTCCAAACAGCAAGGATCTTATTCACCACTAGTGACTCAGTGTTGCAGAAGACAGGAGAAAAATGAAGCAACACTTAGAGAAATGGAGTCACACTTTATTATTGTTATTATTATGTATGAACCCAGAGAAAAATGTCTTTCAAATTTTGGGCCAAGAAACATGGAGGAACCTTCCCTATTTATACTTTTTCCAGCTCTTTGTCTCCTAAATAAAGGTGTTTCCTGTCCCCTTTGCAAATTCTTAAAGAGCCCTATGTGCTGGGGCTTTGAGACCTCAGTCAAAGGCCTGACCTGGTCCAGCACTGATAACTTCATCTGGAGAAGGTTTATTGCCTCTCTGGAATAGGAATAGTCTTAGTTTCCTTATTATTTGAGCAAGCAAGCATTTACAGAAGCCAAAATAGCAGGGTTAAAATTTCAAACAGCAGTTTTTATATAAGATGGATGCTTCACCGGTACATGGATTCTTGCAGATTGAAAGGAAATTAATTAGAAAGTGGCCAGCAGGGCAGGACTGGGCGAGATGGGCCAGACACACCTGGAGCTAACCTCCTGTGGTCCCTTCCCCACCACCGCACCTGGGGTAGCACTGTGGCTTGAAGGGCATCTGTGGAGTGAGCAGGATCCCTCCAGCAGGTGGGGTCCCTCGACCTGACCTGCAGGGATCAGGCCAGAACAGGCTCTCCAACACCCCACAAGGCGTCCCAGACTGTGAGAGCTCCCTCCTCTCTGGTTCCAAGTCATGGCAGCTTGTTAGCTCCTGTGTTGAGCGTCTGCCCTCTGGTGGTCAGTGCACGTAATACCTACCAGCCAGCTGGATGGTTGGACGGTCGCTTAGCCTTTAATATATCTATATCTATATCTATATCTATATCTATATCTATATCTATATCTATATCTATATCTATCTATATTCTCACTCTCCTGCCTCGTAAAGTCAACTTTCTTTTCAATTACTCATGGATGTATGACCTCTACTGATTTTCCTAGTTTAACCTGCCCTTCCTCATCAGTAAGAGGTGCTGCGTCTGCCCAGACTGTTCTGGCCCTATACTAAAATGTCTCTATAATATAATACTCCACACCTGTCAGAATGGCTATTGTCAACAAATTAACAAACCACAAATGTTGGCGAGGATATGGAGAAAAAGGAACCCTCGTAACTGCTGGTAGGAAGGCAGACTGATACAGCCACTGTGGAAAACAGTCTGGAGTTTCCTCAAAAAATTAAAAATGGAACTTCCATTTGACCCAGTAATTCCACTCCTAGGAATATATCCTAAGAAACTAGAAACACCAATAAGAAAGGGTATATGCACCCCTATGTTCATAGCAGTACAGTTCACCATAGCTAAGATTTGGAAATAGCCTAGATGCCCATCAGTAGATGACTGGATCAGAAAACTATGGTAAATCTACACAATGGAATACTACACTGCCATAAAAAGAAGGAATTCTTACCATTTGCAGCAACCTGGATGGAACTGGAGAACATTATGCTAAGTGAAATAAGCCAGTCAATGAAAGAAAAATACCACATGATCTCACTCATTTGTGGATAATAAAAAACATTATAAACTGATGAACAAAACAATAGCTACAGAGGCAGTAAAGCTGTCACATTACAGCGGGAAGGTTAGGGAAATATGGGGGAGATAAGAGATCAACTGAAGGACTTATATGCATGCATATAAGAATAACCAAAGGATACAAAATGTTGGGGAAGGGGCGAGGGCATGTATGGGAGTGAGGTGGTGGGCAATTATATGTACACATATAATACCTTAATAAAAAAAATGAAAAAATACAGTATTAATGAAGAAAGTTGAATGACACCTTCCACACATTTTCTTCCCTCTTTGTTATTCCTGTTTCTTCTTCATTTCTAATATCTCAAGATATCTATAGTTCCTCTTTTCCAAGGTTAACCACTTTCTTGGGACTTTGACAAATATAATTTTCCACTTTTCTGAAATCCTGATCTTTCAATTGTTTCTTCTTCCTCCAACATCTTAAATATATCCCTCCTCAATTTTTCCTCCCCCTCCCCCCCTTAGATCTTAGGCTACAATGGCCAGCGTGGGATGGGGGTGAGAAAGCAGAGCAAGATAAAGCTATAATTCCTCCCTAACTATGAGCAAGGTTGCTACTGTTCTGATAACTCTTTAATTTCACAACCCAACTTCTTAAACTAATGGTTCACAAACCCTAAAGCACTATTTTTTTAAAGCACTATTTTTTGCTGTTTAATTGTTTTAATCAATTTACTATGATTAGGTTTCTCTCCCATCAAGCTACTCAAAACATATTTTTATATAACATATCTTCCTTACCAAATCAGTTCTCATTTTCTTTCACATGAGTTAATACTTTTAATACAGTTAACTCTACTAAAGCTCTTGCTTCTCTCGGCTTTTCAGAATTATGCACTATTCTGGTTCTCTTCCAATCTCACTGGTCATTCTTTTTCTCCAGCTTCCTAAATGTATTCTCAAGATCCTACCATATCCCTCTGCTTTATTTTTTTTTTAATGTTTTCATTGATTTTAGAGAGAGAGAGAGAGAGAAAAGCATCAATAAGAGAGATCCATCAATCAGCTGCCTAATGGGGATCCAGCTGGCAACCTAAACATGGGTCCTGACTGGGAATAGAACCAGTGACCTCTCAGTGCATGGAATAATGCTCAACACACTAAGCCACACTGATTAAGACTCTCTGCTTTCATTTTTAAGAAAATTTTCTCCTAGAGATTCCAATGATTACTTTTGTGCCTGCGAGCCTTATTATGTGATGTTTTTTGAGCATTTAGAACCATAGTCAACAACCTGTTTTCAAAAAATATTGTCAACCCAGCTTTACTTCCTGGCTTTCCTAGTCCTGATAGTGATACAGTAATAAACATTTGTGGTGCCAACATACAGTGAGTCAGTCAGCCAGTTAATTAAATTGACTATTAGCTTTCATATAGTAAGTGATTTGGTAAGCATAAGTGTGCTCACTCTTTCTACCGTGTTTCCCCGAAAATAAAACAAGACCTACTTACAGGTTTCCTTCTGAGTGAAATATAAGTCATCCCCAGAATGAAAATTAATTTACCATAAACTGGTCACAAGGGCCGCCCGACTGGCTTCTAGCAACCAGTGATGTTACGCAGAGTCCTGAAATCACTGCTGTGTGGAGGCGGAGCTGAGGTCTGAGTGAGCTGTGAGTGGGGGTGGGGGGTGGGGGGAGACTTTCGCAAATGCATGTAGAAGAACAGGAGGATTAGAGCAGACATGACTCAGCAAAGGTGGTGAGTGCTGGTCTGTCTCTGGTGACACTACCTGATGCTCAAGGCTGCCCTCAGGTTCTCAGTCAGTGGCAGATCCTGCTCCAGCCCACATCCAGGCCCCAGCAAACCCAGTGACAGTCCCCAGGCAGGCCCCAGGGGAT